AGATTAGCCAAAAAATGATAAGATATTTAGTAATAGTTAGAGGATACTTTGGACATTTAGCTACAAACATAAATAAAGAGAGAAGAATACATGAGCATCGGGATAGGCTAAAAAGACACAAGGCATGGTGTGTAATTTATTTAGCCTAAGATATTTTAGACTTTTAGCTGCCACCAAAAAATGAAGGAAACATTATATATAGGTGTGTACATGAGTTAAGAGGCAACATAGAACCAGGTTGCAGTGGTAGAGTGGTTTGATGTAGTTGCTCCAATAGATATTTAGCTACCAGCATAAATAAAGAGAGTAGAAAATATGAACACTAGGATAAATTAAAAAGGAACAAGGCACAACGTGTCATCTAGTTAGCATAAGATATTTTAGACTTTTAACTACGACCGGAAAAGAACTAAACATTATATATAGGAGTACACAAAGTCATTTTGTATTAGAATAAACCCCCTCATTTAACGATGTCTAATAGTTTTTTTTTGATTGATGCGGTGATATGTGGATGTTGTCCTAAAAAATTGAGAAACTAAAACCCTCGACTATCAAATTTATCCCAAATCTCAAAAAACATGAATATAAGACCATAGACCAAAACAACGTGGGACTCGTACACCATAACAAAGCACATCATATTTGAGCTAAGAGGAAAATAATCATTTCCAACAAGCCTCGACTATCAAATTTCAAAGAACATAGATATAAGATAATAGACCAAAAGGGCATGAGACTTGTAGAGCATACCAGAGCATATTTCCAACGAGCCTCAAGTATCAATTTTACCCCAAATTTCAAAGGACATAGATATAAGACAATAGAGCAAAAGGGCATGAGACTTGTAGAGCACACCAGAGCATTATATTTGAGGTAAGAGAAAAATAATTTCTTCCAACCACATAGGACCTGCACAAAAAGTAGTAGATAAGCATCACTGTTTGGGCATATGAATGAATCTATGAAGAGGCTTTTACATGTATGCCATTAAAAAGTTTGTAATTACATATAAGCCATTAAAAAAATTGACCGCACACGAGTGCCATCGTTCTGAACTTCTTTGCTCTCCAAGCCATTACGTCGGTGTTTTGTTCGTTTTTCACCGTTACATGTGGGCCCGGTCAGTTAAAACGTCCATAATACCCCTTTCATCCCTATCCTCTCTCTCTCTCTCTCAAACTCGATCTCTCTTCTCGTGCGTGCGGCCGGGGCCGAGCTCGCCCGCGCGCGCCCGCGACGGCCGGGGTGGAGCTCCGCTGCGTGCGCCTGCGGCGGCCGAGGCGGAGCTCCCCCGCGGCCGCGCGGAGCAGCGGCGCCGAGGCGGTCACCGAGCTCCACCGAGCGGGGCTCTTCACCTCCTACGCCGTGCGCTGCTCCTCCCCGGCCCCCCCAGCAGCCGAAGGTGGTCGGACCGGCACCTCCGCTCCCGTGCGTGGCCAGGGGCGAGACTGACAATGGCCGAGCTCCGACGAGCACCCGTCCGTACCCGCCGCCGGACGCGTCCCGCGCCGTCGGCCGCGACACCTCTAGCGCCGCCCTGTCCCCGCGCGCCCGCCCCACGAGCTCCAGCCGCCATGGCCGTCGGCCGTGAGACCTCCAGCGCCACCACAGCCTGCGCGCCCGCCCATGAAGTTCGGCCGCCATGGTTGCGACGACCGCGTGCTCCCGAGCCGCGTGCCCCCATCTGCAAGGCTTCGCCGCACCTGTGGCCGTCGGCGGGGCGGCCAGCCCGCCCCTGCGATGGACGCCGCCGCTGCTGGCCGCGACGGCCTGCACAGCTGAGCCTCGTCGCCCTGCCAAGCCGCGCCGCCCTGTCAAGCCGGCGTTCGGGTCCGCGGCCAGCAGGTGCAGTAGCTCAAGCCCGGCGCCCGGGGCAGGAGCGAGCGCGGGCGCGAGCTCCGCCGAGCGGGGATCTGCTGGCTGCAAGCGCGAGCGTGAGCTCCGCCGGGCGTGGACGCGAGTGCGAGCGCGAGCGTGAGCTCTGCCGGGCGCGGGTGCGAGCTCCACCGGCCTCGGACACGAGCGCGAGCGGTGTGGACGAGAGAAGGGTATTTTGGACCTTTATACTGACCGGGCCCACATGTAACGGTGAAAAACGAACAGAACACCGACGGAATGGCTTGGAGAGCAAAGAAGTTCAGAACAATGGCACTCGTGTGCGGTCAATTTTTTTAATGGCTTATGTGTAATTACAAACTTTTTTAATGGCATACATGTAAAAGCCTCATCTATGAATACAGTTGGCCAAAATCCTAACCCTAGAACAGGCACGAGTGAAGGCAAAGAATCCGATGAAGACAAAACAACTATGAAAGCAACACGTAAGTGTGGGGGAGGGAGCGGCGTCGCTTCGAGCCGGCCGCACGCAGCGTGGGGAGCCGGCCATGCCGCCGCCGCCGCATCGGGAGGGAAGGGGAGAGAGAGGGAAAGGGGAAAGAGAAACGGAGGTGAGAGGCAGGAGATGGAAGGAGAGAGGAGGAGGGGGACGAGACGGAGGAGGAGCACGGCCGCCGCCGCCGCGCGCTGCTCGTGCCCGCCGCCGTCGCCCCTGTCCGCGTCGGGAAAAAGAGGGAGAGAGAGCGAAGAGAGAGAGAGAGAGAGAGGAGGGGGTGAATAGAAGAATCAGGAAGGAGAAGCGGAAGTTGCTTTATATATTTGGTTGACTGGATTCTGACGAGAAGCAGAAGAAGCAGAGGAGAAGCGAGAGAAGCTAATCAGAAGGAGAAGCGGTTGCAAGCGAGAATCCGCTACAAGCGATCTGGACCGTCGAACGCGAGATCGGATGGCGGGAGGAATTCAGGGCGACGTGGCCAGGGCTTCGGTGCGAGGAGTCGACGCGATTTGAGACTGTCAGGCTGGGAGATTCAATAATCAGTCCTAGCGAGGAGATGGCTTTCATCGTCGTTCATCGACGTCGTGGCCGTAACATGCCAAGCCTCGCTCCAATCCAAACCAAACCAATTATGCGTGTCTTGACGCCTGAAAATGTGAACACTTTGCAGGCTCTTGCTCGCGGGAACAAAGGTGGCAGCCTGGGACTGGGACTCTGGGAGTGGGGCTGTGCACTTGCGCGCGCACACCCAATGACACAACCAGGCCCCCACCGGCCCCGGCGCCGACAAGAGGATCTGCAGCAGAGATGTTCTGTTCAGGTCCCCGGCGGCTGCCTCGGCGTTCGTCTTTTGATTGTCCTCCTCCCTGTCGCCGTCAGCCGTCATGCCATTGCCATGCCGCCACAAGGCAGAGAAGCCACCGCCGGCGAAACCACGAGCGAGGTTTCCTAGGGTTTACCTATAGCCCATAGAATACTTATATTGTAAAGGACGACAAGCATAACATAGGGTCACACATGAGTCACACGATTCACGTAGCGGATCACCGTACCTGCAATGCCTACGAGCAAACTGACAACAAGTGACAATAATGGAGTTCAGGGGCGAAGCCACGTTAACTTTCCCTGGTCCACGTGCACCAGGGTAAAGCAAAAATTTGTTAATACCTGTTTCAAAATTTTCATATATTTCCTTTAGAAATGTATACGCTCCTTTATATTCAATAGAGTGTGCACCAGGGTCATTTTTTAGCTGGCTTCGCCCCCGATGGAGTTGGACTGTTGGAGTGGAGGCCTGAACAAAGCCTAGCAGCCCTGTTATACCCTTCTGCTTGCGTAGACACTGACCAAGCAAGCGGCGGCAACATGTTTTTCTTTCCCAGAAAAAGAAAAGGTGGTGACATGTCTTTTGTGTAGAACGATCTTGCATTGGCGTTTACGTACATTCAGGAGCAAGCTAATGATATAGGAGCAGTTGCAGTGGTTGCAGAAGTAGCATCTAGCAGCGAGTAGACCCTGAGTCTAGTGCATAGTTTTAAATCTCCCGCTGTAGCCCGCTATAGCCTTTTGAGGCAGGGTGCCGCTATTTGAGTTCATGTACAATTTAGCCGATATATACCGCTATAGCTCCGCTATTAACTGTTTTAGAGATATACCATTAAGCACCTTAGCCCGCTATTTAAAACATTGGTCTAGTGTTTGATAGTGTTTCACCAAGAACCAAAAGAAGTCACAACTGAAACCCCTCAAAAAAACATGCCAAACAGGACCTATATCGTAGCATTGAGAAATAATGATGGTTGATCTCAAGTTCTCAGTAAATTTCCCTAACTTTTTACTAGCAAAGATATTTATAAAACTATATTGTCAATATAAAAAAGTCATATGTTATCAAACTATAAGTAATACGAACTTCTGCATAAAAAATTTCAGATATTAGTCGTTAAGGTTGAAAAGATCAAACTCAAGATAAATCTATATAAAGTTACATTTACAATCAAAGGAAGCAGGACAGATGATGACATGAGTTATCTCTTTCAGAAGATACTACTCTTGCAGGCCAGAACCGCGGCCTGCAAATGATATCCTCGGGCCCAGCCCACCACTGGTACGGTGACTAATAGAGTTGGGCCGGTGTAGTGTAATTATGGCCCAGCTTTACCCATTGCAAATAGAAATAGCAGCTGCTCGCCCGTTCCTGCTCATCTGGATGACATGCATGATGGCACACTCACTTGCGATTTGAACCATCTCTGAATTCGGGAACGCAAGAAGGCGGCAAACAAAATCTGATGCACAGTACAGCTTCTTTTCAACATCTTTTGTCAAATTAACAAATGGACGACATACATGACAGACAGATCGCGATCGATGATCAAACATATCTCCTTGGATATATAAACATACGCATATATAGAGAGAGAAGCTACGCACAACGACAACAGAAATGACAGTAGGGTTTGTGTGTATATACTGTCGTCAGCGCCTCCTCCTCCTCCTCCTCCGTCGTCCGACCTCCGTCCAACCGCACGGCCGCGACAACGTCGTCAATGCATGGTGCGCGATCGAGCCAGGCTAGCTGCGTGCCCAGGCAGGCAGAGGCAGATCCTCAGACCGACCGCCTCGACGGCGACGACGGCGCGCCCGCCGGCCGCCCCGCGCACGCTCAGTTCATGTTGCGGGCGCAGCGCGTGATGGCGGAGCAGCCGCGGCGGTAGGGGTTGGCGGCCTGCTGCGACGCGCAGTTGCTGTAGTAGGACCGGCCGCGCTTGTTGCACGGTACCTGGTCCGCGCGCAGCGCCGCGTAGCTGATGTACCGGTTGGTCGGCTTCCGCTGCGCCAGCGTCCGCCGCATCGAGTCGCCGGCGGCGAGGCCGCCGCCGCTCAGCCCGAGCTCCTCCTCCTCGTCCACGCCGCACTCGCCTACGGCGCCCGAGCACTTGCTGCGCTGGCCCGGGATGCTGCTCGTCCTCACCGCCACGAAGTCCATCGCGCTCAGGTCCCCGACCTTCGCCGAGGCCGGCACCGCGAGGAACGCGGCCGCCGCCGCCGCGACCGCCAGCAGGAGCGCCAACAGGGCGCCGGCGCCGAGGCGGGCCATGTCGTCGAACGGGTGGCCTTGTTGTTGATAAGCTGGTATTTTGCTTCAACGATCGGCTGGGGTCTCTTCGCCCACCCTGCCTTCTTCGCTGTGTGAAGGGGAGGAGGAGGGGGAGATGAAGAGGAGCACAGGGAGGCCATTTGGAGAGGAAGGCGCTGGACGGGAGAGAAACCAGGGTGACCGCACGCTGGCGTGGACGGTGCGCCCGCGTGTCGCGGCCTCGCTCTCGCCCCGGTCCCTGGCGTGCATGGGTGCAGACTTGCACGTGGGACAAAAGGAAATTGAATTTCAAATTCTAAAAATTTAAAACGAACGTTGAGGTTCTAAACGATCTTAGATATAAAAAAAAATTAGCTACGAAGTTGTAAATCTTGCTGGAAACCACAACTAACTCTGGTCTGGTATAAACTATATTAACCTCCGGGGTTCTTTGAAAAATTGAAAAAAAGAAATTTAGAATCTGGTAACCTGAAATGAGTATTTGAGACTCTAAAATATATTAAATAAAAAGTTATTAACTATAAAGTTGTAGAGTATTTGAGACTCTAAAATGATCGTGTCAAGCTCTACAACTTTCATATAAAGTTTATATTGATACGACTTCATGAAAGGTTATTTTTATATGAGAAAAAGAGATAGACGACACCAAACAATAAGGCCTCGTTCGCTTCGCTGAAAAAACAAGCCGAAACACTGTTCCGGCTGATTTGTTGTGAGAGAAAAATACTGTTCCGACTAAAAAACAAGCTGAAAAAGATGGATTATAAGAGAAGCGAACGGGGCCTAAATGGTCTCCACTGCTACTTCAGCAAAACCGTCCAAGAAACCATTTTGAAATTAATAGTCAATGAGAGTATTTTGTTTGGTCCATTCGGTATTTAAGTTCGACGTTCGAGGTAGTGTTTTAAAATCAAGGGTAAAGTATATTTTTCACCCCTCAACTTACACAAGAGTATGAATTTCAACCTCAAACTATGAAACCAGACAATCTACACCCTCCAACTTACAAAACCAGACACTTTACCCCCCCTGCTGTTCCACCCTCGGTTTTATGGCGGCGAGCAATTCGTTAGTGCAAAGAGGCCGCCTTAGACTCCAAGTACAATGACTCCAGATCGAGGACTATATGGCACGATATGTCTTGTTGTAGACCCCAAGTCAACATCTTGGTCTCATGTCTGCTTCATCTTCGGACTCAACATCCATCTCATCCTCATAATCACTTTCTTCATCTTCACTGCCATTGCAAGCCTCATCATCGATATTTCTTGAAACCAACATATACTTGCAAAAAAATCCATCATTGGTCATCTCAACATACCTAGATGCCTTGTCATCAACTTGCTGTCCATTGGCGTCCATTAACCAATGCAACAGGTGCCATCAAAAACAGTTCGATGCCCAAGTAATTCAGGAAGGGATACTTTGTCATGGTCAATGTAGGATGTGGCCATTTCCACCACAATAGTACATTTTCTTCCCATTATGAAGGAACTCCCCATTGTAATGGAACCTAATGTTCAGCTTCTCCAACCAATCCATGTGTCCTATGTAAACAAACCAAAAAGAAATGTATAAACAACGAATCCGGAGACAACAAGAGGATTAAAATAGCTCAAAATCCATCAAATCATGTCTTGCATTAAGCAACCGCCGATGCATAAACTACTATGCACTACCGATCCCTAAGATTTAAACAACACTACCAAATCCCTATGCATAAACTACTCTAAAGTACCATCACCCTAAACCCTAATCTAATCCACAATCTCTATGCACAAGTGATTCCTTAAATCCATGCGTCTTGACAACTACTACCACCACAATGATGATTCCGGGGAGGAAAGGACAGCCAACTCACCTCTGTGCTTGCCTCACCGGACGATGACGAAATCAGCTGATGAGCCAATCATGGATTCCGGCGCCACCCTTAGCGCCGCGCTTCGCCCTAGATGGAATCTCCTATTGCAGATTGCCTAAAATTTACCTCGCAGAGGCGTCGTCGCCCGCCGGGCATCTGCTGTTTGGTCTAGGGTTCTTCGTGGGGTTGGCAGCGGGGACGGGAGTGAATGGGCGGCCTCTTTGCAATAGTGTCTGGTTTTGTAAGTTGGAGGGTGTAGATTGTCTGGTTTCATAGTTTGAGGTTGAAATTCATACTCTTGTGTAAGTTGAGGGGTGAAAAATGTACTTTACCCTAAAATCAAATAACTACTTCAGACAGGTGATGGTGAATCAGACTTTACTCTATATAATATATGATGAGGAATCTAATAATCATTTAATCTAATGGATGCAAACGCTGATGAGCCATCCTTAGCTGAGCCTAGATGGAATCTCCTATTGCAGATTGCCTAAAATTTACCTCGTATATTTCTTTAGGAATAGTGGAGAGGGAGTTGTCCTTCTTTTAGAAGATCTTGATAGTACAAGTATACAGTAGGAGATGAGATAGCTAGTGTGTGTGTGTGTGTGTGTGGAGATGCTCTAAGTGCACCAGTGACGCCAACGTACATATTTTACTTCAGTATTCAAAGAAGACAATAATGCATTCCACGTTCCAAACTGTAACAATGAAGTCATCCTCATCCGTACACAAGGTCTTAACAAATCATCGAAATATATGACTGTCTGATGCCGTTGGATTTTCTGTGTACGTGCAAATAAACAACATTATCTTGCCTTCTTTTTGTGTGGCAATGCAAGAACATAATCGCGCGCAAATAAACGACCTTCGGTTCCATCTATTCCGGTAGTTCTCTCCATGCCTGGAACAGTGAAACCTCCACAATCCACCCGATCGAAGTTCGAGTTTGAGAAGTGGCTAGCTTGAGGTGTGGGCATTTTAATTTGATGCTATTTGCTCAAGCAATTTTTATTACATTTGTCTTATCTTTATTTTATATTATTTTACCATTCTATGAATTTTACCGACACAAGGTAGGTTAGTCCTCACCAGTCCTCTCTATATTTGAATCCTGGCTCGCCAGTAATTCTAAGGTTTAGTAAGTTTTTTTTGTGTGAAATCAATCAAGAGAAATAAAGCCCCATATGACAAGTTCAATTTCTAACATTCATGTCAAAAGTTAATCCGATGGTAACTCCTAACACCTAGAGCAGTAAATATAGATGTTACTAGGTGCACTTATTAATTTAAAATTTCAGATTGGATACAATTTAGTGCACTGATTAAATAGAAATTAATAAGTTGGTTGGAGAAGTTGACTACGATGCATTCAGCACATGATTATAGCTATATAAAATCTACAATTAGTGAGATTATCTTTCCTTTTTACCTTTTATGCCATTGTTTCATTTGGCACGTTGGATTATAGTTATAGAAAATCTACAACTAGTGAGATTATCTTTCTTTTTTCTTAGTGCATGAACAATGATTTGAACCACAACGCTCTAAATAGCCGCGCCTAAGGCCAATCTCAATGGAGTTTCATATAGTTTTATGGACATTAAATATACTGACATGGCACCGTATCGACGAAGAGAGATGATGAAAGTTTTATAGGAGTAGAGAGAGTTTCATGGTGATGAAACTCTTCTGCACTGTTTCCAAAATATGAATATTGAAAAATGAGCCATGAAACCTCTATTGAGACTGGCCTAACTGCAATGGACAATAGTTATAACTGGCCTAACTGCAATGGACAATAGTTATAACTTGGAGCCAGAAAAGGATTGTAACTAGTGATGCTAGAGCTAGCAAAACTTGGAGCGGTGTGTTGTGTCCTGCGGAGAGAGAAGCAGAGAGAGAGAGAGAGAGAGCGTGCAACACCTTTTTGCAGGGAAAAATGCATGCAGCAAGCCTTTAGGGCACTACTAGTGGTGCCAGCACACTGTGACCTTAGAAGCTAGTATCGCTATCGAAAACTGGATGTTTGCCGAGTGTGCAAGAATGTTTGCCGAGTGTATTATATCGGGTACTCAGCAAAGAAGCTCTTTGCTGAGTGCTTTAAAAAAAACACTCGACAAAATAATTACACTCGTCAAAAAAGGCAAAAAACACTCGGCAAAGTTTAGCACTCGACAAACTAGAAAAAAAACACTCAGCAAAATATAAGCACTCGGCAAAGAACCGCCACGTGGACAACCGTTAGTCCGTGTGCCGTCCCTTTAGTACGTTTGTCGAGTGTCCGTTAGTGGAAACACTCGGCAAACAAATACACTCGGCAAAGAAATATGTTTACCGAGTGTATTTGTTTGGCACTCGGCAAAGAAACAAGTTTTTTTTCTCTTCTGACCGTGAAACTTTTTCTATTCCACATACAACATGTGGTACTCCATGTTAAGATTTGGTATATTTTTGGACCTATTTGCTATATTTAATTAATTTATTGTATTTCAAGAAATTTTTTGATATAAGTCAAATTTGAACTGCAAGTGATTTAAATAATAGAATAAAATGAGTAGAAAAATGATATTCATGTTATTAAGTCTATTATGAGGCCTTACCTAGGAAATTAAAAGAAATTTCGAACATCTTGTTCAGAAACACGACTACGAACGTGTAGCCGAATGGTTTTTAAATTCTAAAAAAGAGCAAACGAAGTTTGAAAATCATGAGATTTATCATGATGTGATGATATCATACGTGGAGGCTGTGGTAAAAAAATTGAGAAGGTTTCGTACAATTTTGTCACGTACGATGTTTACAAACCGAAGCATCTCAGAAGAAGAATCGTAGCGTTGAGGAGGATTCGGTAAGATTTGGAGTCAAAGTGGCTGTCGAATTGGGGTTTGACTTCAAAACTTTTGTATAGGCAATAGAGAACATAGATTGTTTCATGTGAAATTTTAGTAATTTTTTGGATCCGTTTGAGAATTTTAATTTATTAAGTGCAATTATAGAATTTTAATTGATATAAATTAAATTTGAGTTATAATTGCATAAAATAATGGAATAATATTCCTAGAAAAATCAAATATATATTATTGAGTCAATTTGACAAGGTATTTTCAAAGTACATCGGAACAAATTGAGAAAAACACGGTCCGGAAAAGGAGAAGGAAAATAAAAAAAATAGGTTTGCCGAGTGCCCATTATCTGGCACTCGGCAAAGCTGGCGTTTTCCGAGTGCCAAACCTAGGACACTTGGCAAACCCCCTCACCGGCCCCACACACGCACAGTAGTTTAGGGTTTGAAAATGAAAAAAACAAAATGTGTTTGCCGGGTTCTAGATCACGGGCACTCGGCAAACCGCCTGATAACCACCCCAGGCCGGCCTCACCCACACGCACATACGCACACATGCACGCGCACCGCACGGACACACGCATCCCGCCGCCGCTCCTGCCCTCAGCACGCCAGCCGCCGGCCTCCCAGAGCCCCATCCCCGGCGCGCCAGCCGCTGGCCTCCCGGCGCCCCGTCCTCAGCCTCTCGGAGCCCCATCCCAGGTACACCCACCGCCGGCCTCCCGGCGCCCCGCCCTGACCGCCGCCACCCTAGGACCCCACTGCCCCCCGGCGCCCCTACCCCTCGGCGGCCGGCGCCCTCCCCCCAGTGCCCTTGCCCCGGCTGCCAGCGCCCGCCCCCGACCCACAACCCCCATGCGCCGACGCCGCCGTTTCGGCGCCCACCACCTCTCGCTGGACGAAGGTACTGTAAATACCAGATTGCCTCATCTGAACAAAAGGTAGAACAATTAGCTAGCGATCAACTTAGATGGCAATGAAATCTGAATAAAAAATGGAATAAGGGATGAATGCTTAGACGCTAATTGTATTAACTCCTCTTGAAAGACACTGTGCCATTTGCTTAACAAAAAGAGACTAGAAGACCACGACAGATGAAATTATTAGTGTTACTTGTTAATCATTTCTATTTGAAATTTAGAGCAAAATTACTTTTGGTCAAATTTAATGTAACTCACTGTGCTGCTATCTTTAATAGATTACGTGGCCGTCGCTCCCTGCCTTGCCACCGCCATCCGCCGTGCCCTCTCGCCACCCCCACCTTGGACCTGCCGTGGTTATGCAAGGTATAAGATGTGTATGTGGTTGTCGGCCATCGTGCCATTGGTTTGGTATGTATGTGGTCATCGACCATCGTTCCATTGGTTTGTTGTAGGTTTTGGTTTCCTCACCGTGCAGGAGAGGTGCTGTCAAAATTTACAATTGACACTATTATGTTCGTTTGTTGTAGGAGAGACTATTGCAAAGATCATTCCCCACCGTCCTCGACTCGCCACTTTGCAGGACAGCAAGGTGAGGCATCATACACCCCTCTTTCCGTATGATGTTTGTATGTCACATAACCTAGCTAGGTGTCTCCCATTCGAAAGAGACACGGTTAGAAATATGCAAATCTTTGCATATCTATAACTGTATCTGTTTCGAATTGTCCATGTTTTTTGGACAGCCCGAGGATGTGTAGATGGGGTTAGTTTCTATGCTCTACTCCGATCCGAGACAGAGTTTCGGCAGCATCTCCCTGTTGTTCTCTGGATACACAATCTCCCTACCAGGACGTGTATTTGGAGAACAACGAGGAGGTGCTGTTAAAATTCTGTCTCGCATAGGAGTAGAGCATGAAAACTAACCACATCTACACATCCTCGGGTGGGATTCGGACCTATCTTCACCTATTAGACTGCCACATAGGAACCTGTAGATGCAATTGATTTTTATATTACTTGCTGATATGTTAGAGGATGGATGACCATGAGTGGATGTACACGGGCCGCTCTAGTCAGGGTTTGTTCACCGATGAATGGATTGAGAAGACCGATGCTTTCTTGGAACTAGCATTTGCAAGGGTTAAAGGAGCGCGTGCCACTTGGTGTCCCTGCAGCATTTGTGCAAACACGCGTCGACAAACAAAGGTGGTCATGGGTAAACATCTTTGCAAGAATGGATTTACGGTGGACTATACCCGGTGGTTCTACCATGGTGAATCCGATCATGTGAGAGACGAGGTCGTGAGACAACACATCGAGGATTATGATCCCGTTGCCGGGGTAGGAGACATATTAAATGACTATCATGAAGCACACTTCGATGAAGGACGTAGGGAGAAGGAGCCAGAGGCAACCGCAAAGGCGTATTACTATATATTGTCTGCGGCACAGCAACCCCTTCACGGGCATACCAATGTTTCTTAATTGGATGCCATTGCACGCCTAATGACTGTAAAGTCCCAATTTAGCTTGAGTCGAGAAGCCTTCGATGTTATGCTGACAGTTTTTGGTAGCCTGCTCCCGGATGGTCACATCCTGCCAAAGAGTATGTATGAGGCACAAAAACTCCTTCATGCACTTAACATGCCATATGAGCAGATACATGCTTGTCCGAAGGGATGCATCTTTTTAAGATGGAGGCAGAGCGGTAGAGGATGGAGGCAGAGCGGCTGCAGATGTTTGAATATATGAGGGGTGTTTACGCTGCAATCGGTCAACCTCAGCCACCAATGCCAGTCCCTCATCCTCAACCTGCTCCAAATACTGTTTCAAGCACTATGAGTCACTTCACAACCTTATAGTCACTGTTTCTAGTTTATGCAGAATCAATCTTACAAAGATGCACAGACACTATAAACTAGAAACTAGAAATAAACTAGAAACTATAAATTAGAAACTAGAAACTAGAAACTAGAATGATTTATCTCTTCTCCTTTGTGCAGAATCAATCAGCGGACATCGAATGAGCCTCATGACACAGCGTGGTCACAGTGGACACCATGGCCTCCTCAGTGACTACTTGTGATTTTATTTGCATTTGCATTTGTGGATTACTTGTGACTACTCAGTGGACACTATTGCACTCAGTGAATTTTATTTGCATTTGTGGTTGTGAATGAACCTACTTGCGGTTCTAAAGTTTATTTGCATTTATGTGTTGTCGATATATCTATATGAACTGCATGTGATGCTTATTGTGAACTATGTGTGATGCATGCAATGTTTATTTGAGTAGGGTACGTTATACGTGACCGAACCATAAAAACTGAAAATATATGGTTGCTTTGCCGAGTGTTACACTCGATAAAAAGGACTTTTGTCGAGTGCCAAGGTAAAAACACTCGGCAAAGAGGACACGTGGCCAAAATCTATACATTCTGGGCCAGTCTTTGCCGAGTGTCCGGGATTTGACACTCGACAAAGCAGCCATGTTTGCCGAGTGTCTGGGATTTGACACTCGGCAAATCAGCCATGTTTGTCGAGTGTCAGTGCCTGGACACTCGACAAACCAGGGCATATTTGCCGAGTGTCAGAGCTGGGGCACTCGTCAAACATGGCTGCTTTGCCGAGTGTCAAATCCCGGACACTCGGCAAACGCGCCGTGACCGTCTCCGCGCTGCCACGTTACTTTTTTTTACCGAGCGTCGGTTTCAGCTCTCGGCAAAGTATTTGCCGAGAGCCTGATAAACAACACTCGGCAAAGAAACGTTTGACGTCACTGTAGATGTCGTGTGCTGTTTGCCGAGTGTTACACTCGGTAAATCCTTTGCCGAGTGTTTTTTTGGGGTTTGCCGTGTGGCAAAGCTACTGTTCCGGTAGTGTATGGTACCAACTTCTTCTCTGGGGTACTTGGCGCTGTGGAGGACCTTATGTCGTGTTCATTTAGGGATTGTTCGGTGGATATTGATGAACTTGCTTGGGCTAGTATGCATCATCCTCATGCGTTGGTGTGAGATTGCTCATCTAAGGGATTGATATTTCAGTTAGACACACAAGTGGAAAATTGAAAAATAAATAAACATTGGAATTTGAGACCTCATGAATCATGCCATGGCAAACAAATCTTGAACAAGCAAGATACATATATCTCTCCATCCCTTTGGCTAGCTTATAAAGGTGGAGATCCATTCCTTCTAATAAAGATTTACATGTCTCTCACTTGGAAGGATCTAGTAGAAACTTGTAGAAAATCGACCGAAACAAACAAAACAAAAAATATTTTGATGGTCCCTAAAACTCAGAAGCAAATCTAAGTCACCAACTAAACGAAAATTAACACGATCAATGCAAGTTTAGCCACGGACGACGACATTGCCATATCAAACGAGAATAGCTGCTCCGCCGATTAGCAGGCACGCCAGGAAGCCACCCCTGAAGGCTACGGCGGACGACGGCGATGGCGGTGGCGAAGACGTCCCGTTCGTGCCAGGCGCAGGCGCGGGCGCCGGCACCGGCGACTGTGACGGCGACGAAGCGTTCTTGCCCGGAACAGGACGCGGCGGCGGCGGTGTAGGCAGGGCATGCGGAGCAGGAGGCGGCGGCGACGAGGACTTGGACAGCGGCGGTGCGAGCAACGCGCGCTGAGCAGGTGAGGCACCGGGAGGCGGCGGCGACGACGTGGAATTGGGCAGTGGCGCTGGCGACGACGACGGCTTCGGCGGCGGCGGCGAGGAGGACGTGCCGTCGTCGCTGCCGGCGTCGCGGACGGCGAGGACGACGACGATGAGGCGCTCGCCGGCCTTGCAGCGCGCTGCATCGGGGCTGATGAAGAAGTATGGCCTGGAGGCGTGGAACACGAAGCTGGAGTCGCGTCGTCGAGGCGGAGCGCGGGCTCCGTGGCGTTGCAGGCGTCGTAGTGGCCCTGGCTCACCACCAGCACGGCGTCCGCGCCCTTGTACGTTGTACCTGAACACTGCAGGCGACGGCACGGCAGGCGCGGCACCATGTCAGTCGCGTCGCGATCTATCTATCTGCATGCAGGCATGCAGCAATGCGTGTCGACTGCAGACTGCACAGTAGAGAGAGACACGGCACCGAGGGTGTCGTTAGTATGGACGGCAACGGGTACAAATTACCCGCGTGCCCGTGGTAAAACCCGTTAGGGTGAGGATACGGGTATCATTTTGTACCCATGGGCATGGGTGCGGGTTTGATTTTGTGCCCGTGGGTAAAAAATTTGTGGGCATGAAAATACTTTACCCGTGTCCGCAAACCCACGAACCCGCATGACATGTGAGCCTGCTGCTATCAACTGTTATTTGTGAACTTGTACCGTTGTGCATTGAATCTGTGATCTGTATAGGTTTGTGATTGTGAACTATGAATTTATGATCTGGCTGGCGGACACGGGTGTGCCTGCAGGTGACGGGTGCGGGTTCAATTTCGTGCCCGTGACGGGTGCGGGTTTGTAAACCTATACGCGCGGGTAATGCGCCCGTTGCCATCCATAGTCGTTGACCTAGAATCGGTTGTGCTCCGCCCAGGCGTTGAACGGCTCGGCGGGGTTGGGCGCCCACCAGGGCGGCCACCGACGTAGAAGTCGCGGCCGGTGGCGCAGGTCGCCGCCATGAGCACGGAGAGCAGGGCCAGAGCCGCTACTTCGGCGATCCGCCGTGCCATCCTTCTACTACTTGTACGTGCCAACAAGGTTCTTCTCTGTCCCCCGGTATGCACGGGCAGAGCCACGTTGGGGCCATCCTGGGCTCCGCCCCCACCTTATCGTTGGTAATTTTTCGAAGGATAGCTATGACTCTGTGAGACTGCATGCATATTACTTGCTGCACAGTCGCATGGCTGCATGCATATTTTAAAGGAGTAGTTATTTTCTTATACTTGATTCTATAGCTGAGCAACAGAGCCAACATGACAGCGTGAAAAAGTTACCTAGCTTCTGACGCCAATATCTTAGCCAAAGAAACAGAGAGAAATTTTAGGCAGATCTGCTATGGAGCTTGATCTGGCCCTCTGGCCCCCTCTTCCTTTCAGCTCTGGCTCCGCCACTGCCGGTACGTACCAAGAACACGAACCCTATCGATCGCTCTGGCTCGTACTATATAGTGACCAAAACCGGTGCCAAGAGCTAGATATCTATCGCCTAGCTAGCTAGCGTGTTGCTATATATAGTAGAGATGAACCCGGCCGGCCGGCGTCCAAATGAATCTGGGGGCTGCTGTCGTGTTTTTTTTCTCGAAATACGCAAAAGACCTACGACGTATTATTGTATTAAGGAGAATAGTTTAAAGAAACATACAACACGCTTTCTATCGAGCGTTGAAGGAGGTCGACCTGAGACAGCCGAAGCTATACTATCATATCAAAAGACCTCATGTTTTGATATTACGTAAAAGAAAACAACCAATATCGACTGCTGTGGTGTTGCCGCCGGTGTGGTGTGTTTGTGAGACTCCGTGGTGGAGGTGAGGGGTGTATTTATACACGAGAGCCGGGTGATGCTACCGTTGGGGTGCATTAGTGAGGCAGTAGCAGCAGCAGCAATTAGCTAGCTGTGACAGCAGCCGTTACTGATGGTGAGCTTTAACCAGCGCCTCAAGGAGTTACTCTGCACCATTTCCTTGACCTCCATGGCGAAGCAACCGGCTGGCATAGCTTGGCAAGGCATGACTGAGCTCGTAACGGCGCTCTGGGTTGCTTACTACATGCCGTCTAAAGCCAGCCATAGCCAACGGCAAGATATGCATCAGCTCGTTAATTTAATAATTAATATACAACAACAACGGCAGGGTATCATCACTTTCACCGCAGGCCTTTATGGGCCGGAGTTCATGGCGCGCTGGGCCAGGCCGGGCTGGGCTCACCAAATCTGATGGGCCGTCATGGCCTTTGAACCCCAGTAATAAAATGGCCCCCCTAGTCTGATGGGCTCGCCGCGGATTGACTAACCTCTTGATTTTCACGGCGGGCCTGGCCCGTTTCTGTTTATTTCTTTCGCTGGTTTTCTTCTTCTTTTTGCTGCCTGCCTGCGCTGTCGTGCCGTGCTGCCGTGCTTGTAGTAGCAGTGTGCAAGCCTGCAGCAAGGTCCTTCTACGTACAAGTGCAATCAAAACCTAGCTAGCTTTTTTTTTCCTTCCCCGATAATATAAATAAATTTGTCTCTGCATGAATGCGTACTCCGTATGCATTCTTTGTGGCAGCAGGCGGGCAGGCAGGGAGACGATTCCACTTCGGTTTGGAAAATTTTTAAGATTTCCCCAATTTTTGACGACATTTAAATATGAATAAAAATAAAACTAATTACACAGAGACATTCACGAGAGCGATATTTTAAGCCTCTATGATTAACACTAATTACCAAATAACAACAAAACTATTTTGCAAAAATTTCCTCAAACTTTTTCGACATTTCGACATTCTCCCTCTCCCATGCTCCTCAATTTTCTTGCTCATCTCATCTGAAAGAAAACAGTTCGACCAATTTTTTGTTGTTGTTGTCCTAGCTTCACAGCTGCGCAGGACCAGAGCAAATTCCCTGGTGCTGTGCTGCTGACTGAGGGTACACTGCGCTGTTGCGACGACAAGCTCGGGCAGTCGTCACTCATCAAGGCTTAACTGTTGGCGCTCAGAAAGCCAACTCAGCCCTTGTTTAGTTCGTGAAATTTGGATTTCGGTGCTACCGTAGCATCTTCGTTTTTATTTAATAAATAGTGTTTAAACATGGACTAATTAGGCTCAAAACGTTGGCGCTTTCACCAAACTGAATTAGTTTTTCTTTGTCTACATTTAATACTCAATGCAGGCGCATGCATTCAGTAACTTTTGGCCTCCAAGCCGTCAATGCATCCATGCATTCATGGCCTCCTGCTGGATCCACTGCTACCGCACTTACTACTAGGGCTTACTACTTGTTGGTAATCGAGGGCTGCAAACACCAAGAAAGCAACCTGCAAGCCTCGCAGCGAAGGTAAAGGTTTTTTTTTCTGAATTACAGGACACCGACGCTCACAACGCACGCACTCGTATAGATATCGAGACCGACGAAGTCACTACGTCTCACGACGGAAACATCGTCTATCATTGAAAATACAACATCATTAAATCCTAGAATAAATCTTGAAAAATTCGAGCACCCATATCAAGTCAAGTACTATCTGGAATGGTAGGTTCCACCGCAAGGAACCTAACAAACTGAGCTAGCACCAAGGGTTTTTATCTTCGTGAGCTATCTATGGAGTATTTGCAGCTAAGCTAACTTGCCATGTTCGTTTGGCTGATAAGCTATGACTGAAAGTATCGTTGATTGATTTATTATGAGAGAAAAATATTATTCGTCGACTCGAAAAAGTACAGCTTATAAGCCAATCTAACGAAGGCGTATGCATGGGATGGATGTGCAGTTGTGCACAAGAGAAGGGAGCGGGGAGGCAGGGGCAGCACCAGCAAAGCAGCTTGCACCGTTGCACGCAAGAAGAGCGATGTGTGGGTGGGTGGTGGGTGGAGTGGTAAATGAATGAATGGACAATGGACGGAGGAGCAGTAGTTACTACATGGTGTGACTTGTGCGGTTGTGCCGGAGGAGGACGAGGACTGAAGGTGGACGGTGGATCTCGCTGCACTGATGCCGCGCGGCCAAGTTGCATTGGCTACGGCTACCCTCTTTGCAGCTAGCATCGTGCGGTGCTGCGGTGCCCCCTCTCTCCCTCTCTATCTCGCTCAGACTGCATGCACCCAAGCAATAAGGAAAGGACGACGATGCCATTGCCAGGGTCAAGCAGCAAGGGGCGACAGCACCTCCGTCGCCAGCTACCGCCTGTCTGAAAATCCCAACCCCTTTTAATCCTGGCATGATTGCATTGGGTGAGCTGGTGACTATTACTGACTAGTATTTGGGTGCTGAATGCCTTTTTGTGCAATGCAATTGTGCTGTGCTGTGCTTGTGCATGCATGGGGCATATCATACATGCAGTAATAGGTTGGGCCGGGGATGGAGGTACTGGCGCGCGGAGCAAAGGACCGTGCTGCCGTGCAGGGCGGACACGGAAGCATGCATGTGACGGTCACATGGACAGGTTCGTGGTCGAGGCCTCGTCTCGAGGGATCCTTGATCTCGATCGGATACCGCGTGCCACTTCAATTCGCTTCTTCTCTCCTCTCAACTGTAACGCCAGGGGCCTGCAGGCCAGGATGTGCCTTCAGCTTGTCAGATTAGTCACCGGTGAGATTTTAATTTATAAGCAGGCAAGCACTACTACTAATTAAGCAGACTCATTTGCCTCACCAATCGTAGGAGATGCATGCTTTAACAGCGCTTTTATTTATTTGTCTGCAGCACCCCCTTGCTTGGAGACAAGACAGTAGTGCGCTCTACCGTACCTGAACTCCCAGCTGATCAACTCATCAACACAGTTGCTTCAACTGCAGTTGATAACTAAACCAGTCGCACTCGCACATTATATACACAGGACTCCTTCTCAAGACATGCATATATATAAGGCATTAAGGCGTGTGTTCTTCAGTGATCTAAATTAAACAGCACATGTAAAACTAAGGTCATATAGTATCTTTTCACTGAAAATGCATGCTCGCGTTCCCCCTTTCCCTCGTACATATGGATACACACACACTGCAAATTAAAGAAGCTTGTAGTGTAGCATGAACCGGATGATCCCTCAATGCATCCACAGTACACTGCTAGCACGGGCCACTGTTCAAAACAGCTGGGCCGACCAGCTAGCGAGCGAGAGCAAATGCCCCAAGACAAACACTGCCCTGGACTCATTGAGCCGGCAACTGTTGCTGTTGCAGGGGGCAAGAACTCAACAACCTTTTATTCATTGCTGCATCTATGGCTCGTAGGGTACACACTTATACCACAGATCCATGCGCGTGCATGGCATGAGCCATGGGGCAACCCCCCAGCAAGTCAAGAGCAGATCATGCTTAAATAAAGGCGTCAACAGATTGATCAATGATTTTTCAAAGGACACGGCCGGATGCCTTGGTTGGCGTGATGATTAGCTTGCAGCAAGTTCATGTTCATGCTTTCAGCCTCACAGTATCTGTGCACTAGGGTAGGTCATGCTAAACTTTAGTAGGGTAAATCTAATCCCATTTAGGCCGCGTTTAGCTCGGCCACCGAATCGGCGCCGCCGGATTCGGGGCGCACTGTAGCTACTGTAGCGTTTGTTTTTATTTGTTAATAATTGTCCAATTGTTGACTAATTAGGCAAAACGTCGCCTGCTAAACTTTAGTATTTCGGGTATAAGTCTAATCCCATTTATGTGACGAATTTCTTTTTACATAGTGACAAATTCTGGAATTTGGGGCAACTAAACAAGCCCTTAGTTATTTTTTACTCGAACATTAGGACTAAATGAGACTAAATGAGCTTTAGCCAACTAGTCACCAGGATGTTGTTAAATTGGACTAAACCTCACCTTTTAGTCCCATTTAGAGGGTGTTCGGATCCAGCGACTAAAGTTTAGGAGGTGTCACATGGAGGTGTCGCATAAGGTATTCGGATACTAATAAAAAAAAATTATAGAACATATCAGTAATCCGTGAGACGAATTTATTAATCCTAATTAATCCATCGTTAGCACATGTTTACTGT